ATTACAACCTCTGTGGGTGAGACACAGGTTTTGAGGGCTTAGTATGTTTTGAAGCCTCCAGGTAATTTCAAAGTACAGATGAATTTGGGAACTGCTGAGGTAGAAAGCAACAAGGAGGCTACTTTAAAGTAGGCAGTCAAGGAGGGCATCTCTGAGAAGGTGATATTTGAATGTAAACCAAAGAGTAAAGAAGGAGCTGTCATTGGAAGGTCACAGGTGAAAGCCTTTGGGCATGTCTGGCCTAGGCACCTGCATGCCTGAAGGTAATTTTGCCTGAAGTGGGGAAGATTGAGGGAGGAATGAGCGAGAGTCAATAGGTTCCAAGAGAATGGGTGAGTAATCATGGCTTACTGAAGACCCTCTCTCTGCCTCTTTCTCAGGTCAGCATCTGGAGCAGCTGAACCATGCCGTGCTCCTGGTAGGCTATGTGTGTTCCATCCTCCTCACACCTACTCCTTGAGAGAGGAAGGTGAGGGCTGTCTATTGGCAGGACAGAAGTGAAGCAGAAGCCCAGATAGTCGTGTACAAGGCTAAGGAGTGGTAGGCTCCAAATAAAGCCTCTGCCTCTCTGCCTAAGGCTGGATTCAGGAGGCCTCCCTAGCCCTGACCTCCTGCTTCCGATCCTGTTGGGGAGATCTGGTTCTCTATCGGATGAGGGTGTGGGTGAGTCGGGGCTGGGTACTACTCTGGACAAACGAGTGTATGCAAATAGAAAAAATGCAGTAAAACTGCACCAGTTTGGGTCTTGTGATTATTTGTCATAGCTGGGCTGGCATTTCCCTTAGTGCTGGTTACAGGGGAAGAGAGTCCAGTAAATACATCCCGAGAGAATGATTTGGGACAAGCTCTCGTATAGGGCTATTTGACAGCAAAAGAGCCACTGGGTCCCTGTCAACCTCTGCCTGGGTATTAGACACCCCATGGAGAGTTGGTGCTTGGAGCTGGGAACTTGGGGCAGGTATTTGGGGTCAAGTACTTGGAGCTGGGTTCTAAAGATGGATGGGTACTTGGATTTGAGTTCTTGGGGCTAGGTGCTTGGGCTTGCTTCCTGGAGTAACCAAGGCTCCATTTCTTTTTTACTGGCCTTATGCAAATGAGCCTGCCTCTAACCCAACTCTCCTCTCTGTGGCTTCATAGCGCATGAGAAGTGTGCGACCCTGTGTGCAACCATGCCTGTCTGCCCTGTCCGCTCCCTGGAGACCCCAGAGGGAAGGGAACTAGAAGGCTGCTCTGGGCCTCTTCATGGGGGCCTTCCTGCGGTCTCCTTCCTTTTCCCCTAAGCCAGGAAGCCCATGCTTCCTAATCTTCACCCTTCCCCCACAGCCACCTGCTGAAAGGAAGTGGCTCTTCAGTTCTTCACAGGAAGCCACAGGCCTCCTCTGCCTCAGCTCCCTTTAGCTACTGCTGGCCCAGGCCCTCTTCAAGGCTGGGTCCAGGGATGCTCTGCTCCTAGCATCACCCTCTGCTGCCCAGCCAAGTGAAGTGTGCATGTGAAGTGCTTCTCTCATTTTCTTTAAATCCCTGTGGCTCAGGTGTAGGAGCACAATCTGTGGCCCTGGAGGTGGGACCTGAGTACAGAGGGTCCTGAATGCTGTGCTTAAGAGTTTGGAAACCCCAGAGAGAGGAGGGGGCAGGTTTTGCAGTGTCCTCGGGATTCACCGCTCCCAACAGCTGTAGGAGCTCCTGCTGCAGACAGGGTTGGATTTATTTCAGTCTCCAGCATCCATGATGGGCACTGCCCCAGGGAAGGTTATTGGTAATTGTGGAGCTGCTCAAGGATAGTGCAAGCCTATGATGATTCCAGGATGGGACTGCACTGTCACCTGGTGGCCACACCAGCACATAGCACCAAGAAATTGTGGGAGGCCTGCGGTGACGCGAAATGAGCCGATTTTCAAGGGTCTGGGGGCCAGGGAGGCCCTTAAAGAAGAAAAGAAATCCCTAAATAAAGGGATCTTATTAAAGAACAAGACACCTCTAACTTGAGCACTTGGGAAAGACATTCTAGGTCTAGATGAGAGTCTTCCATTTTATAGTCTAGGACACTGAGGTCCGGGAAGAATGACAAGAGCACCTCTGCATTGTTTTCCATCCAGTCAGTCACACAGATGGGATCTATTTTTGGACTTTTCTTAGGGGTTGTCCCAGAGTGAGAAACCACTCTGCTAGTTTCTAGTCACCCTCATTTGTGACCAAACATGGCATCTCTCAGCACCATCACCCACCTTAGTACCAAAGTTGGCAACGAGATAGCTTTTGGCAGATTCGAAAACAAAATCCGTTCTTCAAAAGGCCAGGACCAGACAGAGTCAGGGGGATTCAGAAGTATGTGCTTCAGGCTCAGCAGTTTTAGAGCAGGAGGTGTCCTGGAGACTATAACATCCAACCCTCCTGGTTTTAAAAATGAGGAAGGACAAGTAACCTGCCCGAGGCGTCCCACCCTGGAGCTGGGCCAGGATTCAGCTATGCGTCTCTCTGAATGCTTCTGCCAAAGAGAAGTCTAAAGTGCATTAGCATCTCCTGACTTGTTGTATTAGTGAATTCTGGTCTATGTTCATCATTCTGCTTTGTACTTTGTAGACAGGATGATTGTGGTCCATGAAAGCTGACAAGGGTGCGGGGAGGTGGTGACAGGGAGGGAGAAGAGAGGGTCATGGATGCTTTAGGGGGCTCCCAGTTTGTGCACTATAAGCTCCAACTATGTAGAAATTGGGTCTCTTCCACTGTGTCCTCAGCACCTGGCACAATGCCTGGCACAAACTGAGTGCCCGGTAAATGCCTACAGGATGAAAGGAAGGAGTTATCCTGCACAGGCCCAAAGGGACCCTGTGGTGGGCAGTCTCCCCTTAAAGACAGGTCATTTTCAATGTCATTCAGCCTGGGAACTGCTCTAAAATCTGAGGGCAGAGTTGTCAATCTCTCTTGGCCTTGAGGCTATTCAAGGGAATGAGATGCCAAAGGCATAAGTGGGTGATGTATGCTCCCGGTGGCAGGGTGTCCACCCTTGGGAAAAAGAAAGAACAGAGTCTGTGAGCCCCAGAGAGTAAATCTTGACTCCAAAGTTAGATGATCTCATTCCTGGTTGGTATTTGGCTATTTCCTCTTTGCTTTATGCAAGTCTCTAATCATAATAATAGCACATTTACAGAGTGCTCACTACATGCCAAGCACCATGCTAGATGCTTTCTGTTCATTATTTCATGTGATCTCATAGCAAAAGCCCCATTAGTTGGGGGTATGTGTGTGTGTGTGTGGCATTATCATTCTCAGTTTGTAGAGGAGGAAACCGAGTCACAGAGAGATGAAGGCACATGTGCTAAGGCATACAGGAGTTGACCCCAGTTCTGCAGGGGTCTAGAGGAATATTCCTAACTACTATGCTGCACTGCCTCATTTGAAAACTCCTCCGTGCTAGAATATTGAGTAAAAGGTTAGGGGCCTATGTTTACATGGACCACAGTGTCAGAGGGTCTTCAGGTCTGCATGGTGGTGACAGTGGGTATTATCAAGGGTCCCCCAGGGAAAGAACGAGAATTCCAGTCACGCTTTCCCATGAAGATTAGGGAAGGGGAAGGGACAAGTAGATGGGAGTGGAGGAGACTGACATTAGGTTCAATTCTGCCCACATATATTGATCACCTACTGTGTGCCAGGCCTATTCTGCGCACTAGGGAGAAGAGATAACTGAGATACGGTGCTCTCCTTGAAGGGGCTGAAGGATACACAATGTCTCAGGGAAGTCAACCCTATAGGTAAACTGGGGTGTAATTAATAAGTCTCAACAAAGTGTGATACTTGAGACCCCGCTTCCCTCTGGGGGCAGAAGTCCAATCTATTTGCTCCTCCATGGATGGACCTAGTCAAGGCAGGACCCTGTTCAGGCCTGTATGATGCATGTCAGGTCAGGGGACTCTGCCCAGCTTCTGCTCTTGGACACAAGTTGTGGAGACAGTATTTGAGGTGCAGCTGGTGGCTGTCCCACCTATGTACCTCTTCCATAAACAGTGCTTCTCTGGGGCAAACCAGCTGAGGCAAACAATTGCTGTCTGCTGAGGTGGCATTAGACCTGGGGGCAGGAACAAACATCTTACCCACCAACCCACACACTTTTGTAATTGAAGAATTTCTAGATCATAAGTGGGCCTGGGTGGGGGAGGCCTGAGGACAGCTGGCTTGAACCTTTTGTGACCAGCTCTTGTGGGTCACACACAGCTGCCTCCCAGGGGTGCAGATCTCCCTAGAGGCTGGACTGGCACTGAGGCTGGAATTCACTCACAGACCAGAACCACAGCATGATTCTCTCTTGCTTTCCTTTAGTGCTGGAATCAGCCCTGCTTTCACTGCCATTTGATTTTCAGGGCCTCTTTGCCCTTCCTCTGCTTAAGTGCTGGCACCCTGCTTTACCTGGACAGGGTTCCCAAACTTTAAATCCCCCCAAGGGCTTGGATTGCCCTTACCTTCCCACTCAGAAGGCGTGTGGGCTTCAGATGCAAACCGTCTGCCTCATCCCCAGAGTTCTCTGAGGGAAGGGAGACCTCACTGAGCCCTCCAAATGCCACGTGTCACCCTTCCCCCCAGACAAAGGCAAAAGTGACCTTCTATTCTCTGTCAGAGAGAGACCACTCTGGTGCTTCTTCAGAGAATGGAGATCTGGCGTCTACATTTCTGCCTAATCAGAGGAGTAGCTGGAAGCTTCTTTCCCTGAGAACAAACTGAGCTCTGCCTCTCCAGGCCCCCTGTGAAATCAAGCCTGAGCATTCATTCTGTGACAAGGGCAGCAGGAGGCTCAGCTGGGAAGGATTCCCAGAGGAGGGGATATCTGAGCCGGGTTACGAGCTTCAGAAGGACATTCTAGGCAGAGAGAATGGCACATGCCAAGGCCCAAGAGACAAAACCAGCTGGCTGTGTTCCAGGAGCTATGGTTGGCTCTAGGGGGATGAGGCAGACCAGAGTCAGATCTTGTTGGGCTTCTCGTAGCAAGGTGACTCAAAAGGACAAAGCATTTTCTGAGAGAAGTTTATTGTTTTTGTGTGTGTGTTTGAGGAGTATAACAGAGAAAGCTCTAGACTTCAATGAGAAGAAGGGGAGCAAGGAAGAAGAGGAATCGGTTCCTGGGAGCTGCTGACTACTCATCCTCTTCCTCCTCCCCCTTTTTATGGACCTGGGTGTAGACAGCATAGCCCAGAGCAGCACCAGCCTTGGCCATGAAGTTACTGGTCCCTGTAAAGCAAATACAGCCAGGTCACTTGGGACCCAGGCATCAGGCCTGGGAATCCAAAAGTGGAAAACATTGGTCAAGTCTAACTGCTTCATCTTCAGATGGAGATAAAGAGGCCTTGAGAGGGGATGGGGCTTCTGCAAAGTGAATCCTATCTTCCCCCTCCCCCGACTTGCCATCTCAAATCAGAGATGTATTTCAGAGATGAAAAAGACAAAATAACAGCTCACTCTCTTCGTGTCTGTAGTGAATATATGATGTTATCAATGACGCTAATAACAGCCACCTTTGTGGAGACCTCTCTGTGAGTGCTGGGGGAGAGGTCGCCAGTAAGAGATTTCATCCTTGCCACAACCCTGTGACATGTGGGAGGACGACAATCTTATAGCACAGGACTGTTCCTAGCCCTGTGCACACCTTTCATTTCCCACGGCTGGGGTGTGGTCTGGTCTGTGTCTTCCCTTTGGCCCCCTCTCAGAAGGGCTCTGTTTTTCTGGCCTGGTTCTTTGGGCTTTGTCATTAAGAATTGAAAGCTGGAGGGTTCAGAGAAGACATTTGTCAGGGGAGGTTTTTCTCCAGGATTTTGGGGGCCTCAGAGATAGAGAGAGAGAAAGAGAAAGAAAAAGAGGGTGGAGGAGAGAGAGAGAGAGGTGGGGGGGTAAGAGACAAAGAGAGAGAGAGAGAGAGAGAGAAAGAGAGAGAGAGAGAAATGCACATTTTTTAGAAGGAGCATTCTGAGCTCTGTATCATCCCTTTCATGGTGCTCAAGAAATGCAAGTCAGGCTGGAGACTGGTATGAGATTGAATTTGTCTTTACCACTCTGGGTCTCTGAGATTGAACAGATTCATAAAATGTTAAATCGAAGATGATTAACTGGTTAACAAATGAGAAAACAGACTTGTTGTGACTTGGCCAAAGCATCAGTGAGGCACCTGGCTAAAAGGAAGGAATCAGAATGACTGGATTTGAATCTTGGCTCTGGTGCAAACTAGCTGGGAGAACTTAAGTAAATTACTTAACTCCTTGGTGCCTCAGTTTCCCCCACTGTATGATGGGGATTATAAGAGAGCTTAGTTAGCTTGTGAAAAAGACTCAGAACAGTAAAGAGGGCCCCGCGGTCCTGGTGTCTCCCCTCCTCCCCCCAGGGTCCGCCCCGACTCACCGAGGCTCTGCAGCGTGGCTACCAGCCCCCCGGCGGGCACGCCGCCCCCGTTCACCACGGCTGACCAGCTCATCAGCGAGGAGGCCAGCGAGTTGGCGACGATGCCCGTGCTCGCGAAGCCCAGAGCGGGCAGCCCAACAGCTAGGAGCCCTGGGGAAGAGGAGGCGGTGAGGCAGTGCCTGCAGCCAGGGCCCGCTCCACCTTCCCAAACTCGCGGCCCTCCACACCCACCTCCTCCAACCGCCATGTAGGTCAGCGCGCTCCAGAACCCGGAGCCTCTGTCCTCAGAGTTCTTGGAGTCTCGTTTTTTGCCTGTAGGGAGAGCGGACAAAGCAGAGTGGAGCTGGGAGCAAGGTCCCCTACTCTGTGGATGATGCTCAGGAACACCCGCAGAGCTGAGGGGCCACCGTCCTCCCGTTTGGGAGAGCCTCACTGAAGGGAAGAGACTTTTCCCAAGGCGCCGTACCTAGCAAGTTACTGGCATAGAATAAATAAATGTCTAAAATGGAGGAATTGGTAGAGTAGGGATTCGAATCTGGGACTCTGGCTACGACAAGCCTTCTCTGTCCATTGTAATAGCTCCTCTAGTTCAGGGGCAAGTCTGGGTCTCTGAAACTCTCCACTTCTTTTTCCCAAAGTCCTCCCCTGCCCCAAGATCTTTACCTGCTTCCACTACGCCGCAGGTGTAGAGTAGCAAGTAGCACAAGAAGAGCGATACCGCTTTCTGCCGCATGGTGGCGCAGCGCGCAGGCTTTGTCGCAGGACCTAGGAATGGAGAAGGAGATGGTCTAGAGCCTTTTCCAAGCCACACCTGCTTGGTTGTTTTCCATACACAGCAGCGAGGTGTTCTGGACTGATCCCAGGACCCCTCTAAGGAGCCACGGGATTTCCTTTTCCTAGCGTCAACAACCGCGGTGATGTTCTTGGGTTACCCAGAAGGAGGTAAGGTGCCTGGGAAATGGCGTGTGCTCAATGATGTCAGCTAGTATCTTTACTGGGGTTTCTGTCCTTGACTTTGCTGTTGCTGGCCATGTCACCCCAAGCAGGCTAATAGAGCCTTTTATGGGCCTCAATTTATTTATCCCTAAAATGGAGTATTAATAGAGCCTATTTCAGAGGTTGGCCGTGAGTTTTGAAACCGTTTACCAGTATGCCCCTAGCACTTAGAACATTGCCTGCCACATAGAATTTTCTAAAAAAATGCTTGTTGATAAACTTATTCTTCCAATACATTGAATATTTACAGGCACCAAACACTGGCCTCACATCAACTTCATTTTTCAGAAGGAAAGCACAGAGAGGTTAAGGGCTTCCCCAAGGACACACAGTAAGTTGTGCAGCCCGGACATAATTCAAAACTGTCAGAATTCAAAATCTATGTTCTTTCTATTACACCACAAAATAGAAAAATACATATGCCCCCATACTCACCTATAATGTGGTTTTTGTTGGCTCAATGCGATTTTCTTGAATTAAAAACAAACAAAAAATCCCCCATGTATTGAGCACTTACTCAGCACTTTATGGCACAAGGTCATTTATTCCCATAACGACCCCATGAAGCAGGTACTGTTGTTATAGATAATGAAACTGAAGCTCAGACCGTTTAACATTTCCAAGCTTGCCAAGCCATGAAATGGCAGAATCAAGACTTAAACCTGCAATTGACTGATGCCTCAACCCACACTTTTAACAACCATTCCAGATCATTTCATTTATCCTTAAAGATAAACTCACTGTCACATTAGATCCAGCAACAAACGGGTTTCAAAAAATTGTCCAGTCCATTGACAGGTAAGGTAATTTGTTTTTCATTTTTTCAGTTGGAGAACTAAAGCCCAAAAAAGAGAAGTGATAGGGTTAAGGCCATATTGCTGACTCAGCATCTATAAGCTAAGTCTCATGCCTCCTGGTGTTTTCACCTCAGCCCCCTAAAAGCCCCAACCATCCCATCAGATCGGTCTTAGCCCAGAACACTAAAAGGGACTCAGGGATATAGCCTCCCTGAAGAATAGGCATCCTGGCTCTCGGAGCAGGAGGCTCACTGGCAGGCAGCCTGGCAGAGAGTGACCACTTGAGATCCATACCTTACAGCTTCTGGGGTTTTCTTGCAGAAAGAAGAGAAGGAGTCTTCCTGCCAGAGCCTGCTGATAGATGTGAGCAGCAGTAGATAACAGCAACTGCTCTCAGGCTGAAGGCTGACCTTTTATAATCACACTCAGACTGTTGCCCTCCCTCTCCTTATCATTTGCCAATCCCTGTCAGAGTTTCCATTTCCTGCACTCTGCAGAGTTTCTTTTCTCTTCTAGCTTGGATCAGTGACAGCCTCTCTGCATTCTCTGCTGGCAGAAAAAAATGTAATTCAAACTGAAAGCTTTGAACAGCCAAGAGTATTCAAAGCGGGTCACACTACAGTGGAATCCACAGCCATGCTGGGTTTAGTGAAGCTTGACCACCAGCTCCTCTTGGGGCCCAGAGGCCTTTCACAATTCAGTTCAATTAATAATAATGCCTACCATTTATTGGTAGGCATTGCTGCAAGCCAACGCCTATGAAAAGTGCTCTGTGTACATGATCCCTTTCTAATCCCACAATAGTTTCATGAAGTACCATATACTGTTTATAATCCTCGTTTTGCAGAAGAGATTAAGACTTGTGGAAATCAAGTCATTTCATTCCATTGCTATCTCAGGATGGCTGCCGATGGGTAATGGGCATATGGTAAGACCAGCGAAGCCCAGGTGCTTGTGGACATTGTCATACATCTTTCGTCATAAAATGGATCCTCTGGCCCTAGGTAATGGATTGAGCATTCTATAAGCCTTTGGATGGTGATGTTTACAGAAGCACTATGGACAAGAAATGTGAGTTCCAGTAAGGATGAATCACTGCCTTCTCCAATGTGGAAGAGAGGTGATATAAACGACCTGTCACCAGGTAGCAGGCTGCTCTCCCTGATCAATGTTACTATACTACTTCCTATTGCTGCCTGGTTGAGTATTTGTTGGCAGTTGCTAGATCAACTTTGATGAGAGGGACCCCAAGTTGTTGGATCCATTCATAGCTTCCTTGCCACCATGGCCACTTTTCTATGGGTCTTTTGAAAGCAACAGAGTGGCTAAGTTTAGAGGCTGGCTGACCATCTGGCTGGAGAGTTTCTTCTGCAGTGGATGATCTCTGGTGAGCATTAATGTGAGACACAAAGATCTGCATGTTTTGTGCCCACTCCTGTAGCTCCATCCCCATGCCCTTTACCCAGACCTACTTATCTCCAAAAGTCCAATTTTTTTCTTTCCATGCCCCTGATCAACTAGCCAAGTCATTTGTCACTTATCAGGAATTAGTATATATCTGAACCTCAGTCCATCTCTTCCTCCATACAAAGGAGATGACAAAGTATACTGTTCCCTGGGAGGATTTACCATTGTCCTCCAGGGATACCCCCAACTGGGGCTGCAATAGAGTGGTCCATTTCCAAATGGTGCCAAAATACCTTACTGACCTACTTGTGAAATGGTTTCAACTCCTTTTTTCCTTTTACTAGTTGGTTGCAAAGAAGCCTCCAAGAGGCCATAGGTACAAGTTAAAAAAGAGATGTCAGATCAACAGAATTAGGTGCCGTGGGAGTCTGAGCTGCCTGTCCATGTGATTTACTCATGCCTTCTGGGCTCTTTGAGTTCAGCCCTGAATGTACACCTTCAGTCATATTGGATTGCTGCCTGTGCCTGTCTGATAACATCTAGCTTACACCGTAGCACCACCTGACATCCAGTGGTCAGATGCTCAGTCACTACTGGGCCCAGTGACACATCAGGACCTTTTTATTCAAGTGGACCATGGTGAATATGGCCTAACTCCAGAATCCTAAGGGTTCTCACTGCATCCCTTTTATTTGAGCTTTCAGAGACTCCCTACAGTATCTTTATCCCAGATGAATTTCTCCGGCAACCATCTATATGCAGGATCATATAATTCAAAGTGACAGCATAGCTTATTTTATGGTTTGAACCTGCTACACAGTCCTTTCTTGCCCTGGACACCACTCACAATTGGCAGCTTTCCAGATCACTCAATAAAAGCTTGGGGAAGTAGTTCTAAGTGTCTGTATTCTGCCTCCAAAATCCAAAGAGGCCCACTAAACACTGAGCCTCTTCTAAGTGGTGGAATGTGTGAGGAAAGATAACTTATCCTGGCATGCCCAAACTGGTGAACTTCTAAAAATGTTCCCAATGTGCAGGACCATGAATTTTCATGTAATTTATCTTCCACTCTCTGGCAAACATGGTGCTTATACCACTTCCTATTCCTGTCCAATGAGCGTGATGATATCAATGTAGTGAACCAGCATGTTGTTCTGTGGAATGTCAAGGTGATCAAGGTCCCTGAAGACTACATTATAACAGGGAGCTGGAGAGTTAACAAAGCCCTGAGGGAAGAGAAAGAAGATGCTGTCACTGTGACATTATGAAGTAAAAGCAAACTGCCTTTGATGATCTCTTCTCACGGGCATTAAAAAGAAAATATTTGTGGAGGTTGCAAGGATGAGTGAAAAAGGTGAAGGGGATTACAAAGTAGAAACTACCAGTAATAAATAAAATAAGTCACAGAAATGTAAAGCACAGCATAAGAAATATAGTCAATAATATTCTAATAACTATGTATGGTGTTAAATGGATAGTAAGCCTTATCAGGATGATTGCTTTGTAAGGTATATAAGTATCTAATCACTATGTTGTGTACCTGAAACTAATATAATATTGAACTATAATTTAAAATAAATTAATAAAAAAGCAAAGAAAGCATTTGCCAAATCAATAACTATACACAGTGCTAGAGCTTGTGCTGATATGCTCCAGTAAAGATACCACATTCAGTAAAGCAGTTCTGATTGGGGCTGTCACGTGGTTACGTTTTCAGTAGTTCATCCATAATCCACCATGATGCATCTGTTTTCCTGGCGGCCAGACAGATGAATTGAAGGGGGATATGATGGGCAACACAACCTCTGCTAAGATATTAGATCAGAAATACTACTGTGGAAATAAACTGTAGGGCAGTTTGATGGTTAATTTTATGTGTTAACTTGGCTAGGCCATGGTACCCAGATATTTGGTCAAACAGTAGCCTAGATATTGTTGTGAAGATAATTTTCACATGACATTTACATTTAAATCAGTACACTTTAAGTAAAGCAGATTACCCTCTATAATCTGGTAAGCCTCATCCAATCAGTTGAAGGCCTTAGGAGAAGAAAGACTGACTTCCCCTTAGAAGAGGGGTTTCTCCCTGCAGTCTGCCTTTGGACCTGAGCTGTAACTCTAATTTTTCCCTGGGTCTCTAAACTGCTGGCCTACTCTGCAAATCGTGGACTTGTAAGACTCCACAATTACATAAGCTAATTTCTTAAAAAAAATATATATATATTTATATATATATAAAATCTCCAATTGATTCTGTTTCTTTAGAGAACCCTGACTAACAGGCAGTTTCAGGGGTTTCCACTTGGCTCGTCCTATCATAATGACCTTTATTCCAGATTTCATAGAATCAATGAGAGGATCTGTCAGAGTCTGTGGAACCCATTGGACTTAGGCTAAACTCCTCATATCACCTGGCCTCCTTTAGTCCCTACTTTAACCAAGGAACTATGATGATAATTTGTGTCTCTCAGCTTCTGTGCCAGCTCAGACTTTATATCATTAACAATCTTTGAAAAGTCTGAATATCTTCCTTTTTCCAATCCACAGTTATCTTGGCAAATGGCAACAGATCCCTTTGGGAAAGGGTTAGAGGAATATTTACTATATATAATTATGGTGCAGTGGCAGTCATTCCTTAAGGGGACATGGCCTCCCTGTGGTCAAGGGATTCTGGTTCTGTGAACTTAGATCTAAAACCTAGATGAGGGACCATAATTTTCCATTGTGGCAGCTGATGTCAGTCTTCTGCTTACCAGCTCTTGCTTTTTTAAAATATAAAAATTGAAGATCACCCAGTGAGCTGTCCATCTATCCCATCCCCATAATCAACTTGCCATAAATCTCTGCCATTAGCCAGTCTTATATTCTGCCATTCTTGCCCCTCACTGCCATATCAGGGGGTTTTGCTTCCTTCTAAGATCAGTCTCACATATATTAGCCAGGTCTTTCTATTCCTTTGATATGTAGCTTATTTTTCCCAGGTCAGAAACTAAATTTTCCCACTCAGGATTTGCTAGGAACTGATCTCAGTTATTTGAGAGTGCTTCTCCTACCCAGGAGAACTCAGGAGAATTTATGAGATAAAGATTTGTGATAGCCTGCTGAAATGTGAAAGGGTTAAAGGATAATTAAAACCTGAAACTGGACAAAGGAAGTCTATACCTTAGGCCTAGTTTCTGGAACCCCTAACTACATTCTGTTAATCATGAAACTTGTAACAATGAGCTCATACGCTAACTGCCAATTTTAGCCTGTGTAACCCTGCTTGCGTGGCATGAGAAATAGTCAATTGTATATAAGCTGAAAATTACTGTTTGGCCATCGCCCATGAGAATACTGGCTATTGCCCATGGGAACATAGGCAATCACCTATAGGAACATAACATTCTAACAACAAGCTTTCTGCTTCTGTACTCCCCGCTTGCACACCTGACCAGTGGGTTGACAGGTAGTGAATAGGAGAAAGATAGACCTTTGTGTTTAAGATAGAATGAAGAATGGGATTTAGGACTTAAAAACCTTGTAACATGGCATTTTGGGGCTGCTCCTTTGTACAGGACAGCCGCCGGCTAACAAACAGCCTTTGAGAGCATACTTGGTTTGATCTATTCTATACAGGCCACAACAGATTCTTAGGGAAGTCCTAGCCACAGCAATCAGATAAGAAAAGCAATAAAATTCATCTGAATTGGAAAAGAGTAAAACTGTCATTATTTACAGGTGACATGATATTATATACAGAGAACCATAAAGATTATACCAAAAAAAAAAAAACCCACAAAACCAAACCCTGAAATAATTAGAATTGATCAATGAATTCAGTAAAGTAGCAGGATACAAAATTTATATTCAGAAATTGATTGCATTTTTATATGCCAATAATGAACCATCAGAGAGAGAAATTAAGAAAACAATCCCATTTACAATCTCAATTGTATAAAAAAAAATACCTAGGAATAAATTTAACCAAAGAGGTAAAATATCTGTGCTTGGAAAATTATAAGACATTGAAGAAAGAAATTTAAGA